ATCGACCCGAGTCGGGTAGCTCAGTTACCCCTTGCCCATCAAATCTATACTAAACATCATTGTACAAACATGGTAAAAATTCTATGTTGTATTGATTACAAAGCACAAGCGGAATGAGCGTGCTCAGAGCTCTTGAATATCCTACATTTTTTAGAGATAGGCGTTGAGACTGATGTGACGGAGCGAAGCAGAAGTAGGTAATGCAGACTTAAGCTATGGTGTGTTGTCCAACTGAAGAAGAGTCTCTCCAAAAGTGATCTATTGAATAGAAACATCAAGAGTAGGCAGGGGATGACAATGTAATAGAGAAACATGAACAACCTCATACTTTGGACGAAGAGCCATCAAAATGTTAATAACATCAAGAGATGATAATCCAGACTAATCTCTGCCTTTCGTAGACGATACCAGATATGATTTACTTGTGCAAGATACTCATTAACCGATTGACTCAATTACTTGTTGGTGTAATGCAAGGTGCATGAAAGATGATAATGGTGAGCCAAGCCCGTAGTCCGAAACTGAGCAACCAAATAATCGCAAGCATCCTCTGTAGATTCAAACGGGACAAGCATCACTTGAATAACAGAGACTGAAATGTTATGTAACCATGTAAGAATATGATGATTTTTACTATCTCAGCCTCCAACTTATCGACATATGCCATAAGAGCCTATGGGGTGGGGTTAGTATTCCATTACAATGTGGATTCACATGTGCAATAAACCACCATTAATAAATCGCCACAAAATTTCTCCCAACTAATTTTTTTTTCATAGATTACGTTCAAAGATTATACTTGTCTCCTGATGAGATATCACTGATAGGAGAATGCACATCTAGACGGTCCATAAGTTTTTTTATATTTTTTTCTCTCTCTTTCTCTATATATGTTCTTTCTCTCTTTAATGGCTCAAAGACCCAATTTTAATTGTAATAGTTTTCCGTCAAGATTCCAATGTTTCAGTTTATTTCTTCTCGTGGATGTACTAGAGGCTTAGAGACTTTGTTTTAGGTCCCAGTTCTCGTATGTATTTCTTTTCTTCACTTATTAAATTTTTCTAGGGTAAAGGTAGGAGATTTTATGAGTAGAGTATGCTATCATCCTCGTAGGATAGGAGATATATGATTTTGTTGTTGATTGTCTGAGCGAGAATTAATTGAGTGCTCGATTAGTTGATTCACAAGTGGTGATTACTTGATTGTATGTTTTCGAACCTATTAGGTGTCTTCTTTCCTTCTCGGGTCTTAGGCTAACTTGCTTTTTTCTCTCTAATTTTTTTTTTATTGCAATTTGAAGTCTTGCTTGATATAAAGTCCGAGTCTTGCTTGTTAAAGTTTCCATCTTGCATTCATTTTAGTTTAAAATTGCATTCTTTAACTTCATTCAAACCCCAAATTGTGAGTAGAGTCTTTAGGGATTTTTATTATCTTTCTGTGTATTTGTCAATCGCTGCTTGAATCTGTGTCCGAACAACCTTCCTTGAGAGACACGACCCAAGGTCAAAATCTATTCCGTACTCAGCTAAAAACTTCAGAACAATAGCACAGGAAGCACGGGGCAAAAATTTGGGTTGCGTCACTCCATACTTTTGGTAACATTTCCTCGTGCGCCTCGAAGTATTTGAATTGCACTTTCTCGTGTGTCCGATGGTCATTTGGAGCAGCATCTTTTCCCTCCGCTCGACGATTTCCTTCATGGATTGTACGCGATCGTTCATGACCCTCCATCTGCCGCTCACGGACTTGAGCTTCTCCTCTATGGCATCAAGCCCTCACAATTTGTCGTGATGATGATGATATAAGCTCAAAAGTATATATTTTTTTATGCTCACGAACGCACTTTTATTTTTTGAATGATTCACGATCAATCTTTCTCGATGAAATCACCAATGATGAAGATCCTGTATCTAGACATGTTTTGTTTAGACACGTGCGCTAACATCCTTGCTTCTACACGATAATTTGTGAAAAGTACGCACTAACGACCTTATTAATCACATGATGTTTGTGAAACTCCGCACTATCGGCATTGGATAAATACAAGAGAATTTGTTGCTCAATGGATTTTTCTTATCTTATTTCCTGAATAAATAATTTGAATGAACATGACATGGGTATTTAAAGAAAACAAAGAATAAATCTTTGATGACTTAACTTCTAATCCTAAGAGGAAATAAACTCTAATCTTTTGGAAAATAATATCTAGTATAAAATATTTGTCATTTACATATTTAGTAACAATTCTCTCATTTGCTATATTTCTTTTTTTTTTTT